AGACACAGTAGGGATCGTAGACTTATTAACTGAGGCTCCCAATTACAATATTAAGTCGCAAAATAATGAATTAATCATTGTAATAAATTACAAATTATTCCACTAAAATTTGTAATTGCACTCCTCAATTTAATTTTGAAATCTACCATTACATCTTATTTAACTCTCCATGTTAGAATTACTGACACCAATCAATTGAATTAAATTTTTTGAATAATTTAATTTATTGACTAATTTAATCCTTTATTATTATACTTAACTTATTCCACATGACGGATATAAAATCCACATGTCACATCACCCCTTTGAGTTATGTCACGAATCAAGTGTTATTTCCTCTCAATATGTTTACTCCTGGCTTCGTGGTTCTTTCTAATTGACTACTGCACCACTGTTGTCACAGTACGGTGTGATTGGTGGTTCAACAGACACTACAACAAATTCGATTATTAGGGACAAATAATTTCGTCATTTATAAATCATATTTCGTCACTAAAAATCTTGTGAGATGAAAAATAATTCGTCAATCAGTCGTCACTAAATGTGTGTCGCTAAAAGTATACAAAGACGATTTAGTGCTTCGTCGCTAAAAGTATTATATTAACTACAAAAAGAAAAATTGTCCCCAAATGCTTAAGCATTTGTGACAAATTTATTGTCGTAAAAAGTGTATTTGTTTGTAGTTAATAGTATGCTTTGTCACTAAAAAGGTTATTATTACCGACAAAATTATATCGTCACTAATTATTTTAATTCAATCAGTGACGACATCAATTGTCTCTAAAGTTATATGTATTTCGTAGTTGAACAAAATCTTATTTCGTCACTAAATGACTATATTTTATACACAAAAAAATATTTTGTTCTTAAATGTATTAATTGGGGATAAATTTATTATTATAATAAATGTTAATTTTCCTATTATCTATCTCCCATCTCAATTTTTTTAACCCCTCCCACATTATGCTTTCTTGGGGACTCAAACTCACAACCTTAAAGTTGGAAGTGAGGAGTGCTTACCATCCGATCAACTCTCTCTTGTCTCTCATTTTTGTTTATTTTTAACTTCATTCACTTCTTTCAAATTTAACTTCTGTAGAAATAATAGATTATATGATTATTTATACACATACACAAATGAATGAAATTTACCACCCACAATTCATTCAAATGTATATTATATTTTAATTAAATTGTATATTTTTCAAAATATCTTTAAATATATTCAGTACGATTTTGTTATTTTATTTATTTTGATAAATTTTAAAAATTATTCAGTACAATTATAAATTTATAAAAAGTTAAACTTTTGATCTTATTTAAAAAAATGAATTATCGGTTCAATTCGATCAGTAAATCAATTGTTTTGAAAAAAACATCGATACCCATAACTATAGTATTTCATCATAATATATTTGAAATCCTAGTTGGTTCATTTCTTTCATTTGTGCTTTCATTTTTTAGTTTATTTCAATTTTCACACTAATGGAAAAAGTTAATAGAAATTCATGAAATAATTCGCACCTTTGCAAAGTCTAAGTTTGTAAGTTCACACTGATGGAAAAGTTAATAGAAATTCATGAAATAATTCGCACCTTTGCAAAGTCTAAGTTTGTAAGTCGATGTTATCTTTGTATAGTTGCTCTATGTATGTATGTGGAATTACTATTAAATATATACATATTTTTAAACAGAAGCAAATCGATCGACTTAGTCTATGCAGTTTACCAATCACAAATCAATAGACACGCACAAAAATTAGCACCAAGAATTGAGAAATTATTATTTTTATCGTCTTTATTGATGAAAGTGTATCAAATAGAAAATAAAAGTGTTAAACCAACAAATATTAGTGATCTAGTTGTAGAACCGTGCCCCACTCACAATACTTATAACTTGGATTGTATTTTTCAAATGATGCATTTTATAATTGCGTAATTTAAGAAAATTGATGAATTGAACTTTTTCATTTTTACAAAATCAGCCGAATTCATTGGTTTTAATATTTTCCCTCGCCAATTAACGAATGGACTCTGTCTAATTCTATGAAGCACTTGTATTATTCTTTTTGTAAGTTGTCACTTGTAATTATGAATAATTGTAGACAAAAAAATTGTATTTAGCTATGAATTTTTTCGGAGCAAATAGTTGAATTATTCACTACAAATTTTAAGTTGTCGCTATTTAACACCTTACATATTTTGTGACAATTTCTTTGTTGTCACTAAATCTGAGATTGATTAGAGACAATAAAATCTTTGTCACCAATTATTTATATTAGTGACGAAAATAAATGTCATAATTAAATCTAAATTTTTATAGCTAAAACTTATAACATTTAACTATGAACTCTAATTTGTCGATATTGTAACAACATAATTTTTTAGATGAAATTTTTTTGTGTCCAAAAATTATTAAATTTTAAGACAAAAAATAATTTGTCATGAATTAGATACATTATTAGTGACTAAATAATGTGTCACCGATAACTTTAAATTCGTGACTAACACTAATTAATAAATGGCACCAATTAATTTTTTGGTGGGAAACTTTAGTGGACAAAACTTTGCTACGGATTTTTATGTTTCGTCACTAAAAATATGTGTCTCATATATTTAAGCACGAAAAGTAAATTTTGTCACTAAAAGTGAACAATTAGTGACGAATTTGATGTCGTAGCTATATATCATATTTGTTGTAGTGAGAAGGAACCACTCCAAGCACTTTCATAAAATTTTCGAGCCAAACAACCTCTTTAGCCGCCTCAAATGCAGCTACATATTCAATTGCCATGGTAGAATCAACAACACATGATTGCTTGATGCTCCTCCAAATTATGGTTCCACCACCCATAGTAAATACATATCTCGAGGTATTTTTCTATAATCTCTATCTGACTAGAAATATGAATCTTTATACCCATTATGTACAAGATTACCAGGGTGGAAAACAAGCATGTAATCCCTAGTCCTTTTCAGGTACTTGATTATATGCTTAGTCGCAGCCGATGTTCTTGCCCATGATTAAACTGAAATCTGATAACCATGCCTACAACGAAGCAAATATCTGGTCTATTGCACAACATAGCATACATAAGACTCCCTACCGCAGAAGCATAAGGGTCGGTCTTCATCCTCTCTATCTCATTGGCCGTTTTGGGTGATTGATCCTTTGATAAAGTAATTCCATATCTAAAAGGAAGAAATCTCATTTTGAAATTTTGTATGCTAAACCTTGCAAGAATAGTATCAATATAAAGTGCTTGAGATAAACCTAATATTCTTTATTTGTGATCTCGCATAAGCTTAATACCGATGATATGAGCCACTTTTCCCAAGTCTTTCATATCAAAACGCGACGACAATTACTCCTTAACAGAATTTAGCATGCTCACATTATTGCTATGAGCAATATGTCATCTACGTACATAATCAAAATTGCTACATTGTCTCTCTCCCATTTCTTGTAGATGCATGATTCATTTTCAAACTGATTAAAACCAAAAGTCTTAATCGAATTATTAAAACAAATATTCCATGCTCGAGATGTATGTTTCAATCCATAAATGGATCTCTTAAGTTTACAAAATATGTGTCCATTGCCACTTTCCATGAAACCTTCTTATTGTGCCATATAAATGCACTCATCAAGACTTCTGTTTAGAAAAGTCGTCTTGACATCAATTTTTCAAATATGATATTTGTAATGAGTAGCAATGTATAAGAGAATCCTAATGAATTTAAGCATGGTATCGGCAAAAAAGTTTCCTCATAATCAATTCCTTCTTTTTGAGTAAATCCTTTTGCAACAAGCCGAGCCTTAAAAGTTTCACTTTTCCATCCACACCTCTCTTTTTCTTGTAAATCCATTTACAACCAATAGGGTTAACACCTATAGGTTGTTCTACAAGATCCCGTATATGATTTGAGTACATAAACTCTATTTCAGATTTCATAGCAACAAACCACATTTCAACATCCTTATCATATAGTGCGTTGACGTAATTTAATGATTCTATATTAGTCTCTTCAGGAATTCTATCATATGATTCCCCTAAGAGCGTAAACCCATCAGGTTTTCTAATAACTCTCCCACTACGACGACTAGCCACTACATTAAAATCGAAATCTATTTAATTTTTCACCAACAAAATTAAAATTCACCCAGATAATATATTTATATTACTTATCTTAAGTAAATATTGTTTTTGCTTACACAAAATGTTGTATATTTACTATTTAAAGCGCTGTGGCATTATAACCACTTAGGTCAAGATACAATACTAGGTCATAATTACCTGATCCATCCAATATATATATATATATATATATTTATTTATTTAAAAAAATTACAAACAAAGTAATTGATAAAAGTTTCTTTTGAATCTACCACTTCAAATAGATCAAATTTATAAGAAGTACTAATTTTATATGTTTCGATAGGTTTTCTTGTGAATCAACTTGAACTATATATGTGATTCAAATTAGATCATCCTTTTAAAAGAGGTAACTTAATTAAGCTATGCCTAAAATGCCCTACCAATGAGCATATGCTCCGATCAATTCAAATTTGAGCGGGTTATGCTTTCATGGGTTAAATTTGATACTGCCCCTAGTTCCATATCAACCCACTAAGCCCTAGTTTCCACATTATTAGTACTTATCCTAAGAATCACTTCACACATTTTTTAACCTTTCAAGAGTCCAAAGAGATTTTTCTTTTAAAAAAAATTCACAAAGGCAATCTCTTATATGATTCTCAAAGGATTCACTTTAGCTCCATCAAACATTCTTTACAAGACTAGCACTAATCCTCATTTGGTGGGTGGTTTTCTTTATCTTATAATATTTTATTATATAAGAACAATTAGCTAATTAACACCACTTTATTCCCACTAATTACCAAAGATGAAGCTAGCACAATTTCCAACTATAAATACCTCACTAACTAAATGCTTCCCATCATCAAAACAAACCATCCAAAACAATCCCATCAAAAGAACAACCATAATTTTTCATGGAGAAATTTAATACTCAAGATTTTTCATCTATTACTTGTGAAATACATATCATAAGAGCAAGAAACATAAACCAAAGTTCATTAGGGAAAAACAACTTGTTTGTTAGATGTTATCTTCCAACAGGAAACAACAACCAAAGAGTTAAGCTAAATACTCAAGAAATCTCATCAAAATCAAACTTGTTTTGGGATGAATCTTTCTCATTGGATTGCATAGGAACACATGACTCCATTAACACGATGAAGCAAGGAACAGTCGTCTTCGAGCTACGGTCAAGAAGACATCTTCCATGGAAAAATATTGGTGGCTCACAAGTCTTGGGGAGAGTTGAAATTCCATTGAAAAGAATATTTGAGTCAACAAGAATGGAGATAGAGGAGTGGGCAATATTCATGACTACTTCAAAGAATATTAATGAAGATGTGAAACCTCCAGCAGTAAAGATAGCAATGAAGGTTAACGTAAATGAGACAACAAAAATTAATAAGTTGAGAAGATCATGGGATGAGTCATGTGCTTGCAAGGGTTATTGTGGATGTAATAGTAACAGTATTTTTAGTGCTGATGATTGTGAAATATTTGCAATTGGAGCTGCTTTAGATGTCCTTTAGTTTAAGCGAAAAAAATGGGCAAAGCACTGAGGTGTTCCCCTAGATGAGATTAATTTTTTTTAGTGACATTCTTGGATGAATTTGTTAGATTCTTGTATGTTTTGTAGTTTAAATTTCATGGTTTTGATAAAATACAAAAAAATTTATGAGAAAAATTGTTTTCATGAGTTTACTTCAGTTTCCTTAAAGTGAATCTTGACTTCACTTTTTCAATTTCATCAACACAATTGAGTGAAAAATAAGTTTGTTTCTTACTGTTAGTGAAAAATTACAATAAAACAAAAAATACAAGATTACAATTGAAATAAAATGAAGAAACGGAAATCTCTTCAGGCTGAGGCGCGGATATCTCGCTCTCTTTAAGGAGATTCAAGTCCACTGCAGCAAATGTTTTTCACCGGTCCAGCAATAGTCCTTCTTGACTTGTCCCCTCCAGGATACAACAACCTTACACAAAGTATAACTCAACAACTCTGGACAAGAGTTGAGTCCAAAGCTCCACAAAAAAACACCTCCCTTCAACTAATAAAAAATCTCTTTTTTGACTTACTCTTTCACTCTATCTTTTTCTTCTATCTCTAAAACAAATGAAGACTACCACTATTTATAGTTGAGGAAGTCTTCCTAGGAATAAATAGGAAGATAATGGGGTGGTAAATAGTAAAGATAATAGTCTTAGGAGTTACATAGGTTACAAGAATAATAGAGGAATAAAGAATGAAATAATGAGAGGGGTAACCAATGCCTCTAGTGCACTGGCACAACGACCAACTTTCCAACGTTCACAGAAACGTTCATCACAAAGGCTAATGCAATAATGCCTTTGGTTATTAATTATCCACCAAGGCACAAATGTTTATCCATTGCAAGCAATGATCCAGTAGATGCTCCAACGTATAGACAAACGAAAACTGTTAATGTGGCCATTCCAAGGTAGAATATAATATAATATTAAAATGTTGACCAACAATCCCCCACTCATTTTCATATTAGTTAACAAAGTTTATCAGCTGAAGGAAGACTACTATGCATAATGAAGGTGTGCTCTGCATTGAACCTTCACTTAGTGAAACAATAACTTTTACTTCAGAGTCGTAGTGGTCTCAGACTTGAACTATGACTGCTTAAGGAAAATAAAATATCACTGCTCACACATAATAATCAAGGTGTTGACATGAACTTTAAAGCCAGCATGTTATGGCCATGTGCTATCTCGGATTCATGAGTGCTTTTGAGAATAAGCCCAATTCTCATAGGAAGCGACCTACTTCCACACATCACATAGGTGAAATCTGTCTAGAGTGCTCCTGTAAGCTTAACACTCCACCCATATGAGCTACAGATATTCATTAAGAGTTTTATCAACTCAACCTTCACAAACTACAGGAAACAATGCACTTACATCATAGGGAGGGAATAAAAAGATAGTGCATTTTTCACAACAAGTCATCATATGATTAGTTTTTCCCTTTGAACCTGGTTATAGGATATCTAGTCCCCAGGTTGGGTTTCCTCATATATGACTCAAGGATTTATAGGCTTCAATCCCATCCTCCTCGATGTGCTCCAGACTTTTTCTCTCGTTAAGGCCTTAATAAGAGGATCTGCAAGATTATCACAAGATTTGACATAATCAACATTAATGGTACCATTTACCATTTGTCAAATACGATCTTACATTACTGTGTTTCCTCCGTATAGGTCTGGATTTACCGTTATAATAACGGTTTTGAACTCTACCAATTGCAGCGGTGCTATCACATTGAATTAAAATAGGAGGAATTGGTTTTTCAAAATAAGGTATTTGAAATAACAAATCTCTTAACCAATTCGCTTCCTCACTAGTTGAAGTTAAAGCAATTAGTTCAGCCTCCATGGTAGAATTAGCAATTATAGTTTGCTTTTTTGATATCCAACAAATAGCACCACCACCTAAAGTAAAGACATAACCAGTGGTAGAACAGGAATCACCTGATAAAGTGTTCCAATCTGCATCACAAAAGCCTTCAAGTACAACAAAATAATTTTTAAAGAACAAACCACAATTTTTCGTTCCAATTAAATATCTCACAACTCTTGTTATAGCATGCCAATGTTCATTACCTAGCTTGCTTGTAAACCTGCCAAGTACTCCTACTGCATATGCAATATCAGGCCTAGTACAATCAGTCACATACCTCAAACTTCCGATTATGCTAGCATATTCCTTTTGATTTATTACATCATTTTCACTTTCAACAGGAAATAAGTGAACACTTGAATCAAAAGGAGTAATAACATGCTTGCAATCAAGAAAGTTATATTTTTTCAAAATTTTCTCAACATAATGTGACTGGTCAAGGAAAATTCCATCACATGTTCTTGTTATTTTTATTCCAAGAATAACATTTGCCTCACCAAGATCTTTCATATCAAAATGGCTTCTAAGAATATTCTTAGCATCATCAATAACATTCATGTTAGAGCCAAAGATCAACAAATCATCAACATATAGGCAAATAATAACATGTGAATTATTCCAAGACTTATGATATATGCACTTATCACACTCATTTGTTTTAAAACCATTCTCAATCATGCAGGAATCAAACTTTTCATGCCATTGCTTAGGTGCCTGTTTCAAGCCATATAGGGATTTAGTAATTAGTTTACATACTTTGCTTTTTTGGCCTGCTTCAATAAAAGACTCGGGTTGATCTATATAAATTTCTTCATTTAGGTCTCCATTTAAAAAAGCAGTTTTTACATCCATTTGATGAATTTGCAAATCAAAAATTGCAGCCATAGCAATTAAAAGTCTTATGGATGTAATTCTTGTTACCGGTGAAAAAGTATCAAAAAATTCTAGGCCTTCTAGTTGTTTAAAACCTTTTGCAACTAGCCTAGCCTTATATTTATCAATAGATCCATCCGGTTTCAACTTTTTTCTTAAGACCCATTTGCAACCAATAGTTTTACAACCCGGTGGTAAATCAACTAACTTCCAAGTTTTATTAGAAATTTGTACTATTTGAAGCATAACCAAGAAAAGCACAAGTAGTAACTTTCTTACCCAACTTTGTAATTTTGGGATCCATTAGCCTCACAAAGGCTAGACAACCCCAAACTCTTAGATATCCCAAACTTGGCTTGTAACCTTTCCACAATTCAAAATGTGTTAATTTAGACTTTTTATGAGGCACACGATTCAACACTTAACAAGCAGTTAAAATAGCTTCACCCCAAAAATTTAAAGGTGCATGTGACTCAATAAGCATGGCATTAGTCAATTCAACCAAAGTTCTATTTTTCCTTTCCGCTACTCCATTAGATGAAGGAGAGTAAGGAGGAGTAGTTTCATGAATTATTCCCAATGATCTAACAAAAGAATTAAACTCATTTGACTCATATTCACGGCCTCTGTCACTTCTAATTCTTTTTATTTTTCTTCCAAACTGATTTTCAACCTCATGGAGATAAGTTTTGAAATTTTCAAAAGAATCACTTTTATTTTTCATCAAGTGAACATATGTAAACTTAGAAAAATCATCAATGAAAGTGATAAAATATCTATTACCTCCATGAGTACTTAAAATTTCACCAAGTTCACAAATATCAGTATGAACTAATTCTAACAAATCAGTTTTTCTTTCAACTTGAAAATGAGGCCTTTTAGTGATTTTGGCTTTACTACAAGCCTCACACTTTTCAAAATTCTTTTTAATTATTGGGATTAATCCTAAACTACTCATGATTCCAACATAACGATCATTAATATGACACAAACGAGCATGCCAAAAATTAGTAGAAGAAAGCATATAAACAGAAGTAGAAGCTTTATTCACTTCTACATTCAATTTGAACATCCCATCACAAGCATACCCGTTCCCACAAAATATCCTTTTTCACAATTACATATTGATCAGATTCAATAATCTGTTTAAAGTCTGCTTTATTAAGAGGAAAACTAGACATCAAATTGTTTCTCATGGAAGGAGTATAAAGTACATAATTCAAAGTTAATACCCTTCCAGAAGTAAAACACAATTCGACATCTCCCATTCCAAGCACTTGAGTTTTGTGAGAATCACCAAGCATGATGGTTTTGGGCTCCTCAAAATGAGTATATTTCTTAAACCAGTCTTTGTCATAACAGACATGACGATTTGCACCAGAATCAGCCCACTATCCATTAACACTCTCAATCATGTTTATGTCGGTAATCACCGCCACAAAAGGTTCTTTGGTAACATTTACCTGAGGGTTAGGACCACGTTTCCGGAATCTGCAAAATCGAGCAATATGCCCACTCTTGCCACAAACAAAGCACGGTCCCTTATCTTGAACTTGTTGATTTTGTGCTTGGTTATTTTCAACATTATTTTTCTTGGGAGGTCTATTATTATTTTTCTTAATTTTTTTCTTCTTAGGCTTCAAAGAAGTATTTTTTGTGAGTTCCAAGAGTATCATTATTTGAAGTAATTAAATTTATCTTCGTTGTGATGTTGCTCTCTTCTTTTTGTAAAAGTGCATATTTGCGCCTTGCCTCTTCACCATCGTACTTTTCCACTTTCTCATGATGAGAAATGAGTTCATCATCATCCATGGAAGTGTCATCAACCTTCCATCTTTTGAAATGGTTACCATTGAATCGAAATGGCTTATTAAGGTCTCCCATCTTGACATCCGCGGTTTTTTCAATTGTAGTCATTCTAAATCTCCTTAAAATTGTTAGTGAAAAATTATAATAAAACAAAAAATACAAGATTACAATTGAAATAAAATGAAGAAACAGAAATCTCTTCAGGCTGAGGCGCGGATATCTCGCTCTCTTTAAGGAGATTCAAGTCCACTGCAGCAAATGTTTTTCACCGGTCCAGTAGTAGTCCTTCTTGACTTGTCCCCTCCAGGATACAACAGCCTTACACAAAGTATAACTCAACAACTCTGGACAAGAGTTGAGTCCAAAGCTCCACAAAAAGAACACCTCCTTTCAACTAATAAAAATTCTCTTTTTTTTACTAACTCTTTCACTCTATCTTTTTATTCTATCTCTAAAACAA